TGAAGTGACCAGGAACCCAGAATCCAGGAAGAAGACCAAGGAACCGAGCTAGAGAGTTACGAGCTGGAGTATGTGGAGTTAAAGGAGGAGAAAGAGTCATCCGGAGAGAAGGAGAGGGAGAAGTCGCACCCATACCCGGAAAGGAAAGACTGGCCAACCCAAGTAGAATGCGAAATGGACATCAATGAGTGGGAAAAGGAGTTGAGGAATCTGAGCCTGATGGAGGAACACGGATATGTGCTGGAAGGTTTCAAAGAGGGATTCACACAGGAAATTCCGGAGCACCGTCTGGAGGGGAGAAAATTTTACTCGCCAGACAACCATCAGTCATCGAAGGAAGCGGAGGAAGAGATAAGGGAAAAACTTACGAAAGAGTTATAGCAGGAAGGATGAGAGGACCTTACACGGAAGAGGAGGTAGTGAAGAAGATTGGTTTCTTCAGAACGAGCCCAATGGGCATGGTGATAAACGGAGATGGTTCAACAAGAATCATCCACGACCTGTCATACCCTAGGAGGAGAGAAGATATTACATCAGTGAACTCATTGGTAGATAAAGACAAATTTGAAACAAGCTGGGATAACTTCAAAAGAGTGGCAGATTTCTTTGCAAAACTTACAAGGGAGGTAGAGTTAGGAATTTTTGATGGGGAGAAGGCCTATCGGCAAATCCCAACTGCACCAAACCAATGGAGATATCTGATGGTGAGGACACCAGAGGGGTGGATATTGCTGGACTTGAGAGGAACATTTGGGGGTGTGGCTGGATGCGGGAGTTTTGGAGGTCCGGCAGACACTTGGAGAGCGATAATTAAGCTGAAGTTTAATTTCTTAGAAGTATTCAGGTGGGTAGATGACAACTTATTTGTAAGGTGGAAAGATGAAGTCGATCTGGTAGCAATGAAGGACATGGTGGACGCAAGTGCAAGACTTGGAGTAAAAACACACGAGGGGAAGTACGCAGAGTTCAAGGAAGAGCAGAAGTATATCGGGTTCATCTGGAATGGAAGAGAGTGGTCAGTAAGATTACCAGAATCAAAGAAAGAGGAGAGAATGAGACAGGTCGACAAAGCCCTAGAGAAGACGACACCACACACCTTTAAGGAAGTCGAAAAACTGACAGGGAGACTCGTGCATGTAACACACATGCTGCCACAGATGAGGTGTTTCTGTGCAAGTCTACACCAACTGCTAGCTTGTGGAAGAACAAACTGCCATAAAGAAGACTGCCAAAAACGGTGAGGACAGACCTAGAGGAGTGGAAGGAGGTACTGAGGACATTTGAAAACCATCAACTGATACCAAAGAAAGGAGTAGATAATGTAGGGTGGGTAGGCGGTGCGTCAACAGGATACGGGATTGGTGTGATTGTCGGAAAGTTCTGGACACAGCTAAAGTTGAAACAAGGATGGAACAAAAAGGACAAAGAAGGCATGAAAAGAGGAATTGCGTGGGCGGAAACGGTAGCAGTGAGGATAGGACTGGAAATGGTAGCAATGCTGTTCGAGACAAAAGGGAAACGGTATCTGGCTGTAACAGATAACACCGGAACAGAGGCCTAATAAGGAGTCAGAAGTCAAGGGAGAAGTCCTTGAACAAGGAGTGGAAGAAGCTCCAGAAACGACTTACTTATCTAGGGTGCGAACTAGAGGAGAAACGTGTCTCATCCGGGGACAATAACGCGGACGAGTTATCAAGGGGAGAGAGAGGCAACAAAAGCATATTTTTCTATCTAGAACCGAGGCTACCAAGAGACCTAGAGCAATTTCTACAATACAAAGAAAAGAACGTCAGACAGCTTGAAAATGAAGAAGAACCGACTCAGTTTTGAACAAGCAGTGAAGATAGAAGGAAAGGAGAGACAGAAGGAGAACGTGACAGGGCACTTAGTGAAAGGAGCGTGGACAGGGAAAACACTTAAAGGGTATAATAGCGCGGTGCAGAAATTTGAGGCGTATATCGAAAGCACCGGAAGAGAGTTCAAAAACAACGAGCCAATGGAAGTAGAAGATGTCTATGGGTTCATTGTATGGGCCGGACCATTGGAAGTGGAGAAGACGGCTGGCCCAGGGAGAGAGCTGAAGGCGAAGACAATTGAGAAGTATCTAGCAGGATTGAAAGCTTGGCACATG